AGTCGTACTATGTTTACGAGGGGGTTCAAGGCTCACTCATTATAAATACATCTGGTTTCAAAGGTGAAAAAAATAGCTCATCGATCTGTCACCGTGGCACCGAGAGTATTGTTATCCTTACGCACCTGCAGAAAATTCGTAATGTTTGCTGCAAGCATATGATCAACTTCGACACATATAAAATTATCTATTAAAATTATAGGAAAGTGAGAGATAGGAAAAGGAAACAAATTGACTTGCTGGATTTTTCGAATATCGTAGAAATTTTTGCAGGTTTTAAAAATTTTTTCGCATTTTAAAAAAATACTGCTCCATTAGCTATTGATAATTGTTTTTTTGTAAAATACAGCCAAGCTTAGCAAAGTACCAAAAATATTTACTAACATACGATTCGTATGTATATACATATATGATTGATTTTTTTGTGAAAATATAAGAAATAAATCTTTTTATAATTCATTGGCTTGTTTCTTTGGTATTTTTTTCGATTTAATTACTTAAATTGTTATAAACGAAAATGAAGAAAAGAAATTTTTGGAAATTTAAGAATAATTTATGCAATACTAAAATTTATTGTATGAGCACGCCGTATATATTTACCATAGGATTAAATATTGATACATGAGTTTGTTTTATATTAGCAACATGATTATTGGTGGATAAAACATCATGTGGAATAGTGAATCTATATAAATATAGATGTATTATTATGGATACAAAGGTGAAGAATATTTGGAACTGAAAGTGAAATTTTAAAATACATGTAGAGCAGAACATAACGTGATACGATCAGAAAATTACTACGAACAACGCGTAGGTTTTACAAAATTGATTTAAAAAAATTGTGTGTAAAGGTAAGGTATAAGTATTATTATCTTAAACGTTCAAGATAAACAACTTGTAATTGATTTGCTGCAATATTTGTAAATTGCCTTTAGTGTTTGATTATACCTAACATACAAATGTATGAGTTTTTGAACTATCTCTAAATCATAATTACACAGAACATTGTCATAATCATCAGTCATAATTATATTCATATAGCTTTAATCAGGGTATATAATAGAGAATGATTCTGCGTGAAAGAAGGAATTTTTTTTTTTTATTTAAGTGTGAATTTATCAACTACATTTAAATTTAGATTATTCTAGATTGGTCAGGGATAATTAATGAACAGAAGGCTTGCAAAAATAAGTCAAAAGTGTAGAATACAATTTTTTTATGATATTTTTTCGAGAAAATTCAGTTTCAAATATACATCACTATTAAATCAAATCTTGATTAAATATAACTTTACTTTTTTGAAAACGAGGCTTTAGACAAAAAAAACTTTATTTTACGTTTTTTTCTTATTTAAATATAAATATAATAATTAAAAATGTTTAAATTCAATTTTCTTGATAATGAAAAAATTTTATTCTTTCTTTTCAACATGTAGAATCATTTCATACATATTACTAGTTACGAGACACCCTGTATATTATTTTTTGCACTGCAATAGGCCTCTTTATTTTTGAATATCTTAATATTCAAACTTTATATTACAAGTAGATAATCTATTTGTTATAGTTTCGTTTTGATATAATATAATATTTGAATATTAAAATATTTGAAGAATAGAGGTATATACTCTACTATACAAGGTGAATCATAAGTATATGATAGTACAATTATATTAGAAGTTTATGTGAAAAATATTGGAAAATTCTACATGAAAAAACAAACAAAAACTTAGTACAAAAAAGTTTTATATCAAATTTTTTATTTATTTTTTCATATAGAATCATCTTTATCTTTTCTATTATATTATTACTTACTACCCACTCTATAAAAGGAGATCTATATTTTTTAATTGTTTGTATACTTAAAAAAAAAACAGACTTATTTTTGTTTTTGCACTCGTGTCGTTCTGGTTAAATAGCTCGATTAAACTGACCTTAACTCGAAACATATGTATTTCTCGCACTATAGAAAATTTTACTGTATATAACGATATGGTTTCCGATTAAAAAAAAATTTCCTTTGTTATTATTGTAAATATTGAACAGATGATAAGAGATTATGCAACGCATATGTTGTTGCTGCTAACAGCAATTACCACTGATTGCGTTCAATCAGTTTATAGTAAATACATCTTAGATAAGCAGATTAGATAAATGTCGCCGACCTATTTTGTTGTACAATATTCACGTTCTCACTTCCTTTGTTTAATGTTTTCCTTATCATTTTTTAATGAGAACGATATCATTGAGAAATATGTAATCATACAGTTATTTACGAAATTGTTCATATACGCGATGAAAAATTGCTGATATCTTAAATCATTATAACTTCGTTATAACAAATTTGCAAATTGCTGTAACAATCCATTTAGTATTATTTTAAAATGCAGGCTATTTACAAACCGTTTACTTTGACAATTCTAACTAAAATGTTTTTACATCGTACGTCGAGTGGAAAGGCAAAGATACTTCTCTTCTCAAAAGTGGTAAAGCTTCAAACGTTTGGAAACATATAGAAATTGTTTTCATAACCAGATTCATCTTGATTCATCTTTCGAAGATTAAAGTCTTCTTTTTACAACGAGCCTTTAAAATTTGTACGAATTTTTTTTAGCCCTTCTATTGGACTTTAAATATTGGATTGTCCAAAAAGTAACTCATTCTCCTTTTTTCTTCTTCCTTTTTATTTGCAAATAAACTTCTTTCTTTTCATTTGCAAATAAAAGACGAAGAATTTTTCACGCGAAACAAATCTTTATTAGAGAAACTTTATTTTCCATTTTGTTCGATTACCTTTTGCCATTTTGCAGTCAACTTCATGATTCTGGATTCTTATCTTTTTCGACAAGATACAGTTCCAAGAACGATTTAATACCCTTATCAAATACATATACATCAGATAATTTTTTATGAACTTGCACAGCGTTTGTTCTTTTTTTCAGAAGTAACACAGACAGAATAAATTATGATGAAAATATCCTTTTTGATTTTCCATTTTGTCGACCAATAAACAGCTAACGAAATCATACATTTTCTTTATCTAAAAGAAACTTGAACAGTTAGCTTGAACAGGTCACATAAAGAATTTGCGGTTGAAAATGATTTAAATGAGGTTAATTACAATAAGACATGTATGTCTGTCTATTTAAAAAAAAGGCAATCACTTTTTTGCCAATTTGATATTAAATGCAAGAAATCTTAACATTTTGACGTTTAATAAAATAGTGAAAAAGAATTACAAAATTTTAAGGAGTTGTTAGGTGAAAATTCCAAATTTTACTAGGATAGATCTAGTCATGAAAAAAAATTTTCAGCGATTTTGAAGATATTTGAATTTTGAGAATGCAAGTATCATTACTTCCCTACCTACTGCATGATGTAAAAACACTTATGAAGGAAACGAATTTAGAATCGTCAAAATAAAAATTTCACACTTTAAAATGAGGCTAACTGGATTGTTGAATGTTTTTTTTTTTTTCGAAACTGGAACAATTTAAAATATTGACAATTTTTTATTGATTATATGAACAATTCTATGATTAATTGTTGTAGATATATACACAACATGCGCGATAGAATATGATAATATGTCGCATATTTATTACGTTTGAAAACTATAAATTATTTATCGTAAATCGTACGTAGAATGGAAAATAAATTATTGAATAATTTTCGTGAATAAAATTATTTCATATCTTCGATATCTAAGTAATACGAGAGTGAGTTGGAATGTTTTGTTTCTTATTCTTGTGTGAAGTGCGTGTTTTTTTAACTTTGTTTGGAAATTTTTTGCAAAGAAACTATTATACCTTTTGCAGTCAAATTGACAAGGTTTATTTGCACGTATTTCAACGACGTTTTAAAATTTTTTGGAACAAAAAAAGTTAAAATTAGTGGCACTGCATACTCTCAAACATAGTCGCTTTTAAAAAAAGTCGTCTCACGATGTCCATGATTCCGGCCATTCTGCTTGTTGGAAATAAAGAAACGTGAATGTTCCTTAATTAGTATGAGTTTGGCTATAGCAGGTACCAAAACAAAAGAAAAAAATCGGTAATTAAAAGAATGGCGATACTTTGGGGTTCGATTATCGATTTTTGCATGTTTTTGTCAAATTTCGGAAGCCTAAAAAAATATAAGAAATAAAATTTGTTGGTTGATTCTGGTAGGGGGTATAGTCACTAAATGCGTACTTAAAATTTTGAGTCAATTGGTCAAGTAGATTTTGAGATATCATGGACACCGTTTTAAAAAACATAGTTTCCAGAAAAATGCCTTTAAAGTTTAGTATTGCGGTAACAAGACACTGGTCGTCGCGTCCTTCAAATACCCATAACTTCGTTAATTTTAGGGGTTTACATGTAAGGTTCCAGAGATGTATTTTTGAAACTATATCCTTTAAGAATATGCAAAAAAAAAAAAAAAAATCGATTTTTTTCAAAAGTTTACACTAGAATACCCCCTTAAACAAGAAAACTTAAACTTAAATAAAAAAAATCAGAAATAGCAATAAAACAAACGTTTATTGTTATTTTTAAAGATACATAGTTATTTTTTCACACAATCACCATCTACTGCAATAGATTTCAGCCATCGTTGTATAAAAATTGGGTAAAAATTTACTGTTTTTTCTTGAAACTATTTCTTCTTTGTACCTAGCGATTTTCACCTTTTTCTGAAATGAAACGAAGGATCTGTGATGAAGCTGCGATGAAGAGATAATGAAGTTTGCATTAGAAAAAATGATTGCTTTTAAGAAAAATATGTTGATTTAAACGAATTACAAAAGCCAGCGCGGCATTGGTGAAAATGTATTGCAGTAGGTGATGGTAACTATGTAATTTTAAAAATAAAGAACGTTCATCGTTGTTTCACAAAGCTACTACGTCTTCCCCTTCATTTTTTATTCAAGCGAAGACAAAATTCTTCGATCCATCCTCGCATAATTTATGCAACAAAAATTACGACCATGAAAGTACGAATAGACTATTGAACTTTCTAATTGTGCGAATTGATGATTTTCCAGGTATTAGCTTTATTTGAAGAGCACGAGGATGCGTTCACGGCCTTCGTCGAGCCCTTCGTCATTTTGCTCATTCTTATTGCCAACGCCGTGGTCGGTGTGTGGCAAGAACGCAATGCCGAGTCTGCGATCGAAGCGTTGAAAGAGTACGAGCCCGAGATGGGCAAGGTTTTGCGATCGGACAAATCCGGTGTCCAGAGGATTCGTGCCAAGGAGATTGTACCCGGGGACATAGTTGAGGTGTCCGTCGGTGATAAAATTCCGGCCGATATCCGTTTAACCAAGATCTACTCGACCACCCTCAGGATCGATCAGTCTATCCTGACTGGTGAATCTGTCTCGGTGATCAAGCATACGGATCCTGTGCCTGACCCACGTGCCGTCAATCAGGTTCGTACTTCAGTACAATTATCCCTCAGTATTTATCCCTCCGTTGGTATAGTAGTAGTTTTTCAACTAAGGGTTTAGAAAAAATATGAGAAAAGTCCTCAAAAGTACTTAATTAATGTACGAGTGAAACTTTAGTCAAATATATATTTTAGTATTTTATTTTATATTTTATATTTTTGGTGTTTGAGATTAGTAATCAATCACATTAAATTGAACTAAAAATTTTAAAATTAAACGATTTAATCCTAAATTTTTATGGTCAACAATGATGTAACAATGCCAATTAAGAATTAATTTATATAATAGTGTTACATTATTGCATATGAAATTTTACAAATGTATAAAATTATCCAAAGCTTGGCAATAAAAAATGCTCTTAAACAGTATTTATTAGATGTCGACTTAAAATTTTAAGCTTGCCAAATTCAATATAATTTGTCAATCGCTTTATTATAAAAGGATAAATTATTTATCAAAATGAACCATGGATAAACATTCGAATGTTTTTTTACAAAACTTCAATCTATCAAAGTAAGAGTTGCTCATAAGTATCTCAAAAACTACATTGAAAGAACAAACAAATGTTTGAATTAAAAAATACAAACATTTTTAATTGTAATTGATAATTATTTTTGATTGTTTTAATTATTTTATAATTAGTTTTGATTATTTTATAATATAAAACTATGAAACTGTTTAGAAATATAAAGAAAAATATAAAACTATTTACAATGAACAAAATGCATCGAATTTGCGGAATTGAAATTTGATTAATATTATTTTTGAGAAAGCTGTAGATATTGAAACTTACATTACAAATTTCGCTATTTCATTTGTAACAAACTGATAAAATATATATATAGTACTTCTGTAGTAAATATAATAACTGTATTTGTACGAACTTAGGGGATAAATATTTTATATAATATATATTGTAATATATAATTTATTTATATTATATATATATTTAGTAGTTTAGATTTAAAAAAGTGAATTTAATGAATAAGAATTTGTTTAATTGTGCACCAATTAAAATTTCGGTTCAAATAAATGAGAAATATAATCATATTCTTTTTAAAAAAATATTGTAATATTTAAAAAAATAAGATATATACTGCAATTTGTTTTCTTGATACTTGTGATTTTATTATATTAACATTAGAAACACCAAAGTGGTCAAAATGATTAATTCGTAATTTTTCATAGAAACTTTATAAATTTACCATAGTCTATTTGTAGAAATTTAGATTATTTCTTGTGAAATATACGAATCAAAGCTTGTATAAATTTTTCTCTACTCTTTGTATTTTATTTTTTTGTGAACCAAGGTTTATACTTTATTCACTAATAGTTGTAGTGTTAAAGATCAATTTTAAACTTATTAAAAATATAAATCGAAATTATTATCAAAGATCATCAGGGGCACATTGAGTTTAAAGTTTCGAAAGAAGACTATTATATATCTTGAAGAATACTTGGATATTTTTAATGAACATGGAGCTCTCATTGATCATGACATTAATACAAACATAATTGATTGGAAAACGACGAACACGGAAACATTTAAATCACTATCTGTGAAATTCAGTTTATCAAAAGTCAAATTTAGTTTATTTACGGGAAGTGTTCCAACTCGGAAAGTGTATTAATCCGTAGAAATTATAAAATTCGAAATTTAGGGAATTTATATAGAAGGGAGAAAAGTGTCACGTTTATACAAATCATTAAAACTGATATAAATAAAATTGAAAATAAGAAGCTATTTGATATTGACAGGCTTCTTAAAAAATACTTTTGGTAATGATTGGCGAAATGTTACTGATCCTGATACATAGGCTCAGTTTTAAAACTGAAAAGAGGATGATTTTGTACGAAAAGATAAATCAAAAAGAAAGAATAAAATTTTTTCGTTTAAGATTTCGTTTTTAAGAAGATCAAGTTTGAATATATTCATCAAATATAAATTCCTCGAATTTAGCTAATTCTAGACACGATAGGAAAGAATAATCAATAAGAAGTTATTCTACATGGAAAAATAAATCCAATGTAAATAAGAATAAAATCTTTTTGTAAAGTGCTTCGTTTTTGGGAAACTCGAGTCTGAAAATTTATCAAATACATATATTGGAATTTGGTTAATTTTAAACGTTCTGAAATTTAATGTAAGAAGCCACAATGATGAACTTCATAAATCGTAAAGTAAAAAAAGAAAAGATGATATTGTTATCTTTCTGTAATAAATCAACTCGTGAAAATAAATAATTGAATATTAATCATTTACGTATCAGATAATAAAGTTACGAAATTAGTAAAATATGAAGTTAATCAGTTTAAGTTCTGAAAAACTACCTCCTATATCATGTTTGATAGATCAATTATAGAAAATTGATAAAATGTTCATAATTTTATTCTTACATTTTCTTATTCCTTATTTCTTATTCAATTATAATCTTGCTTGTTTCGTCATACAGGATAAAAAGAACATCTTGTTCTCCGGTACTAACGTAGCTGCGGGTAAAGCTCGCGGTGTCGTTATTGGAACTGGATTAAACACCGCCATTGGTAAAATTCGTACCGAGATGTCCGAGACCGAAGAAATCAAAACGCCGTTGCAACAGAAATTGGACGAATTTGGCGAGCAATTGTCGAAAGTTATCTCTGTGATCTGCGTCGCCGTCTGGGCTATCAACATTGGACACTTCAACGATCCTGCTCACGGTGGATCCTGGATCAAAGGAGCCATCTACTATTTCAAGATTGCCGTTGCTCTCGCTGTAGCCGCCATCCCCGAAGGTTTGCCGGCTGTAATTACCACTTGTTTGGCTTTGGGTACCCGCCGTATGGCAAAGAAGAACGCCATCGTGCGATCCTTGCCATCTGTTGAAACCCTGGGTTGTACTTCTGTCATTTGCTCGGACAAGACTGGTACCTTGACTACAAATCAGATGTCTGTTAGCCGGTAAGTTATGTTAGTAGAGTATTGGAAAAATGTTTAGATAGTTTCATAAATTTGTAAGCTGAAGGAATGTGTATTTTTATAAATTCATGTGGTATCAGTAATATACTTATTTCAGCGTAATAGAAATTGAGTAATCAATGTCAATATTTAAATATTGCGAATTATTATAGAATGTTTATCTTCGACAAAATCGAGGGCAACGACAGCAGCTTCCACGAATTCGAGATCACCGGCTCGACTTATGAACCAGTGGGTGAGGTCTTTTTGAGGGGCAAGAAGATCCGTGGTCAAGATTATGAAACTCTTCATGAGATCGGTACCATCTGTATCATGTGCAACGATTCCGCCATTGATTTCAACGAATTCAAACAAGCATTTGAGAAGGTCGGCGAGGCAACGGAGACTGCTCTTATCGTTCTTGCAGAAAAGATCAATCCGTACGGTGTTTCCAAGAGTGGATTAGACAGGCGTAATACAGCCATCGTTGTCAGACAAGACATAGAGACAAAATGGAAGAAAGAATTCACTTTGGAGTTCTCTCGAGATCGTAAATCTATGTCTTCTTACTGTTCGCCTTTGAAACCAACTAAATTGGGTACCGGGCCAAAACTGTTCGTTAAGGGCGCCCCAGAAGGTGTTTTGGACAGATGCACGCATGCTCGTGTAGGATCTAACAAGGTTCCTCTTACATCTACTTTGAAGAACCGTATCTTGGATTTGACTCGCCAATACGGTACTGGCCGAGACACTTTGCGTTGTCTTGCTCTTGCCACTGCTGACCATCCAATGAAGCCTGACGAAATGGATCTTGGCGATTCCAGCAAGTTCTACACGTATGAGAAGGACCTCACCTTTATTGGTGTTGTTGGCATGCTTGATCCACCTCGCAAGGAAGTATTCGACTCCATTGTCAGGTGTCGTGCAGCTGGTATCCGTGTTATTGTCATTACCGGAGACAACAAGGCCACCGCTGAAGCTATCTGCAGACGAATCGGTGTGTTCGGTGAAGACGAAGACACGACTGGAAAGTCATATTCTGGACGCGAGTTCGATGATCTTCCTGCTTCGGAACAGAAAGCTGCTTGTGCTAGAGCTCGTCTGTTCTCTCGCGTGGAACCTGCTCACAAGTCCAAGATTGTTGAGTACTTGCAGAGTATGAATGAAATTTCGGCTATGGTAGGTTTTTTCATTGATTGATACATTAATAGATTGCATGCACATCGCAAGAAACGTGAATTCTGATTTTTGTCTGTGTCTTCTTCTTTCTCTATCGTAGACTGGTGATGGTGTAAATGATGCACCTGCCTTGAAAAAAGCTGAAATCGGCATTGCTATGGGATCTGGAACAGCTGTCGCAAAATCTGCCTCCGAGATGGTACTGGCTGACGACAACTTCTCTTCCATTGTCGCCGCTGTTGAGGAAGGTCGTGCCATTTATAATAACATGAAACAGTTCATTCGTTATCTGATTTCTTCCAATATTGGTGAAGTCGTGAGGTTTGTACAAAGAAACAGCATATCAGATATCGACAAATGAAACAGTAAACAATTTACGAGTTTTACAATTACAGTATATTCTTGACTGCCGCCCTTGGTCTTCCTGAAGCTCTGATCCCTGTACAACTTCTGTGGGTCAACTTGGTTACTGACGGTCTTCCAGCTACTGCTCTCGGTTTCAATCCGCCTGACTTGGACATCATGAGCAAGGTAACGTTGTCAAATAAATAAATTGTATTTTATGAAAATTTAAAAAGGAATTATAACTATGTTTACAATATTGTAGCCTCCTCGTAAAGCTGATGAATCTCTCATCTCTGGCTGGTTGTTCTTCCGCTACCTGGCTATCGGCGGATATGTAGGTGCTGCGACTGTTGGATCAGCTGCGTGGTGGTTCCTGTACAGTCCGCATGGACCACAGATGAACTATTACCAACTGGTAATTAGTGAAATAGTCGGTGCTCTTGATACGTTACCATAACGATAATTGTGATTTATAGACACATCACTTGGCTTGCATGGGTGGTGGCGAGGAATTCAAGGGCCTTAACTGCAAGATCTTCACAGATCCTCATCCAATGACGATGGCTCTGTCGGTTCTCGTAACTATTGAAATGTTGAATGCTATGAACAGGTATACAAACCAACCCTCTTTTACAAACGTTTAAACTTATATTAATTTCTACATTGTTTTCCTTTTGTTTCCTTTCAGTTTATCTGAGAATCAGTCTCTCATCACTATGCCGCCCTGGTCTAACATGTGGCTTATTGCCTCTATGGCTCTTTCTTTCACACTTCACTTTGTCATCCTTTACGTCGAAGTTCTTTCGGTATATAAAGATGCAGCAAAAAGAACTGCTGTTCATTATCGTTTCATGGACATAATGTAATAACGCTGGATATTATTTGTTTCAGTCTGTATTCCAAGTTACCCCTCTAACGGGCGAGGAGTGGGTTACCGTTATGAAGTTCTCCATTCCAGTGGTACTTCTCGACGAAACCCTTAAATTCATTGCCAGAAAGTTCACAGATGGTGAGAATCCCATTGACTCAGTGCTTTGGATCGTTCTAATGTGGGCTGTGTTCTTTGGACTATTAAGTATTTGTCCCATATAGAACGTCCGTGAAAACAAACATTTAGCCTAACAGACAGTGTTTTTCCTATGGAAAACATATTGCAACTGAGTTCTCGGACTTGCAATTGCATTTAAACAAAAACCGAAGTTCTTCCCCGTTGCCCGGGAAGCCTCGAAGATAAGTTATTAATTGAAGTGCGTTTAAGTGAGATTTTAACCAGTTTGACTGTTGTGCATGGTGTTAGTACAACCAATACAGATTTGCCACCAAGGCCCACCATGCCCGCATCACACCGTACCCTGAAGTCGCTCTACAATCATATTACGGGTTTCAGTGGCTTCGAGTGATGAGAAAGAGATCCCGCGCAATCAAAACAATTGTGATTGTTAAATTATTTTCTACGAGTGCCTTTTAAACATTAACTTTTCCTCCCCAACAACAACAAAAAAAAA